GCGCAGAAGACGTCGCGCAAATAATACACTCATAAAGCGCAAAAAATGAAAAAAGAAGAAAGGAACTCTTGAAAATATCGATATAGAGAAAATGGAAATCTAATTTATCAAAAAACTTTAAGATTATAATTATAATTTATAAAAAATCTTTAAGATTATAATTATAATTTTAAAGTTTTTTGATAAATTAGATTTCCCTTTTCTCTATATCGATATTTTCAAGAGTTCCTTTCTTCTTTTTTCATTTTTCGCTTTGTTTCATTGTTATTTAGGTTTAATTCTGACATTTAGATTCTCGCTGTAGGGGAGCTCACCATGATAGGATAACTGTTATTCATAGTTTGTATATGTTGGTTTGTGTTGTCTCTGAAGAGGGCTAAAGTGAGCCGAAACATGTAAGTGCGTTTAGTGGAATAAACAATTTTTACGCTTTATAAGTGTAGTATTTGCGCGACGTCTTCTGCGCCTGACTCCTATTGCCCTTATTCTTTCCAATTTCTTTTAATTGAATTTCAAATATGGCTAAAAATGGCTTTTGTGGCAATTTTGGGTTAAGATTTCTCGAAATCTTGACGTGATAGAGCAATTCTGCAGCCGGATTCAGATTCAGCGCGAAAAATTACATAAGAAAACATAGTTAAATTCCAATCAACAAAACTATGCAGGCAGGGCCGGCGACTTTTGTGTGGATGGTGTGGACGAAGTCCACACCATGATCGCGGACCATGTGGAAATTCCACACCCTCGACACCAAGATACAATGTGTTTGTGTTCCACATGTTAACACTTTGTAGACATGCATTTTGTTTTTCACGATGTTTCACCAGTAAAGTTATAAATGTAAGATAGTCGCAAAAAAAACTAGAAAAATCCAGCTCCAGTCAGCGCGTTTGGGCGCGTGACACATGGAAACGCCAAGCGCTGGCCTCTGGCGGCCAGCTAATCGCGTCGCGCTAATCGTTGGACCTTTCAGAATTCCTACACTTACGTCCTTACTTGTGTCTTGTGTTTGTCGGTGTGCCATGTCCGTGTGAATGGTCTCCCTTGTCCCCTCAATATACCTGGCTACAGCCTAAAGCATAAGAAAGAGACGGGAACAAAATGGTGATGAAGCAGCTGTTGCAGATCCCTCTTTCAATGTCAACAAGAAAGCAGATAACCTTCCTTCAGTACCCAGTTCGAAATCCAACACGACGGACGGAGAATGCAGTATCGATATTCATATAATTCGTGATCAAGACATAGAATCAAGAAAGGAAAACGTATCTACTGCAAAAAACCTTCAATCACGCGACTCACGGACTACTGCAAATACAAACGAGAAAAAGTGTAAAAAAAGTAGGTACTATAAAATAGTATATGTATATTTCATTTGTTTCATATTTCATTCATTTTGTATAAGATCGAAAATTGATTGATTTTCGTTGAAATGACCGAATGACCATAGTAAAATTAAAAATAGATAAAAATATGAGCAATAAATGTGAATAAAACACTAGAGGGCAGAGGCGATTTTCTTTTACTTTTCTACGTTAATGAAAAAACCAGTATGTATGGTTTATCAAATACTGTCTTTTTCTTATATATGGCAGTTACTATTTTAAATCGTATAACTAGATTATAAATATATCTATATAGAAATATTTTCTGTGATTGTACAATGAATTTCCCATTTCTTGCAATGCATTATTTGCATATTTATGTTTATTTTTATTACATTGACAATTATACTTACTCATTTTTGTGTCTATATATTTATTTTTTATTTATTAGATTTTATTTATTTACTGGAGATTGAAGGATTTTTTAAACAAACTAACAAAAATATTTTCCCATTACTATATATAATTAGAAAACTAAATATATAAAACTAATATATAATTAGAAAACTAAATATAGAAATATATAAATATATAAATCACGGCGGGTATTTTTGTCACATATAAAATGCATACAAAATATGACTATACTTTCGATAACAAATACGCAATACTGAATGAAAGTACAATGAAGTATTTTAATTTTGAATTTATTTTATATAACCTGATGACTGAAATGACGAAGAATAAAAAAATATTAAACGATCATTTTTTGTCAATTAAGAGAACAATATTTTCATTAAATTCTATTGTAGATGTAATATAGTTCAAACTTCATACAGGTATGCAATATAAAAATCTGATCATATAAATATCTAAAAAATATAAACAAATTGAGGTTACGTAAAACTGTAATCGCCGTTACAATAAATGTTTAATTTTATGGTAGATATTACCGGGACATCAACACTGGAGCAATACAAATGGCTC